GCAGGTTCTGGGAGTGTGTGTAAATGCAACATGCAGGTTCTGGGAGTGTGTGTAAACACAACATGCAGGTTCTGGGAGAGTGTAAACGCAACATGCAGGTTCTAAGAGAACGTGTAAACAAAACATACTCCTTGGATGTTATTGGAAAAACGGGCAATTCGCATCACAGTAAACATGTACACACACATAGCCCAGACCTGCCTGCAAAACTTACTCTAGCTAACTGGTATCACATGGGGATTTCTTTTCCATCACTAAGAGTAAAACTTGCCGCATGAGACCCCTGAGAATTTAGAACAGGCTCTGGGCTCTATGTTCATGTTGAGGCATGCGGCTTTTTTTCCGTGGCTGGCCTCGCATTTCCTGTCTGTTTCCCAGGCTTTAAAGTGCATTTTGGTGATTTATTTTTTCACTTTGAAGACTGATGTGTGTTTCCGCCCTCCCTTGCATTCACAGCACCCCCCAGGAAAAATTGCACCATCTTGAACGCTAGGATTAATTGCAAGTTGTGTGATGTCTTTGCCGATGGAAAAAACAGGCCGAAATATGTGTCAGGATGACATGGATGACATGAGATGTCTGCAGATGTTTGCTGCCTTCTCAGTGGGGGGTCGGAGAAGCTCATGAGCTCAGATGGCTTCTCAGCTGTCGTCCCGCCGAGTCCATCAAACGTGTGATTCTCGCAATCCTTTGATCAAGTGGTTCTGCGGGATCTTGGAGGCCAGGATTGCAGCTTCCCTCCTTAGTATCTGTGGTGTTTTGTACTTGTTAACATAAATTAAGAATCATTTGAGTTTTGCCGAGTCTTTTTTTTTTTTTCATGCAGTCTAGAAGATTCTACCGAGCCGTCAGCTTTCAGCTTGTTTGGATGTTTAATAGCACATGATCCATCTACAGGAAGAGATGCGGGCCAAGCACGCTAGTCTGAGGGTGAAACGTAACTGATCTTGGGATATGATTTGTCCAGGAAACGTGGTCATGTGACCTAATGAATGAGCGGGTATGGTCATGGTGGGACCCCTGATCTGCTCTTTGCTACAAACGCACGTGCTTGTGCCTCTGTCTGTGCAGGTGGTGTGGAGCAACCCCTCTGGCTGAGTAGGATCCTCCCTTTCTCCACCTTCTCCTCCACCTTCTCCTCCACCTTCAGCTCCACCCAGCACATGGCCTCCATGCCGGGCGAACCCACATCCTCCTTCACCAAGGTGCTGCTCCTGGGGGCCATCGCCGCCGCCTCCGCCTTCGTGGTGACCGTCCTCGTCCTGCTGCTCTGCATGGGTTGCCAGAGGTGAGGCCCCCTGCGCATGTCTGCACCTGGACTGGACCTCGCTTTTGCCCATCTGCTGCTCACCACGGCATGGAAGAACTTTGAAAACAAATTAAATATTTGCTACATGGTTTTATCCAAAATAACGTACATTTCTAAGAAGCAGGGTCTGAAAATTGTGGGATTGAGGGCCTTGCTTGGGGGCCCAAATTACTCTGCTGACTCTGGGATTTGAACCAGTAACCATCTGACCACAGGCACAAGGTCCTAACCCACTGAGAGTTGCAACTAAGAGAGTAGCATCCTCTAGTTTAGGGTTGTCAAACTGCAGTCCTGGAGGGCCGGAGCCCTGTGTAGCTTAGTTCTTTCCCTGTTCCACCACAAATGATTCAGCTCAACTGCTATGTGGTAATTAGCACAAGGAGTTGTGTTAAACGAGGGGAAACCAAAAAATGTGCGGGGCTCCAGCCCCCCAAGACTGGAGTCTGACACCTGTGCAGTCTAGTTGCTTGGACCCACCTCTTCTACAATCTGATTGGTTATCTCTCTGAACCAACCATTTTTCATTCTGCCCTCAGAACATTTTCGTGTAAGTAAAACTCTCAGGAGCATTAAAATCGTGACAGTGTTGATGAGACTTGCATGAGTAAAAAGATACACACGAAGAGACAGAGACGTCAGAGTGACCCTTGACTTGGACCCTGGGCTCTAGGGAATATCAGGAGAACATCAGAAGTTGCTCGTGGGCGGTGACAGAGGAGGGGTGCTGTGATTGGCCAGTGTCAGCCCTTCATATCTGAATGAGCTAGATGCAGAGGTTTGTGACTGTGTCATTAAAAAGAGCATCGCCAAGGGACCATCATGCCACAGTTTAAGTCAGGAATCAGAGTAGAGTGTTGCTATGGATACTGCCAGCATCCGGACCATGCTGTTGATGCGATGGCAGTTTTGTGAATTATGTAAAGCTTGGTCACCAGTGTCCATGGCATCGTCGTGGTTACGCACAGCTGCAGGCGTCCCTTCCTAAATGGGGGAGTGTCACACGATCAAGCTCAGCACTCTCGAAGAAACGCCGGTGTGGAGCGTTGGGTCCTGTCCTTCAAATCCCGCGACAGCATGAAGCTCAGTGGGTAAAGATCTGTGCCTATGCCCAGAAAGTCATGGGTTCAGATCCCATAATCGGCAGAGTATATCCCCATTGGGCTTATGAGCAAGGCCCTTAACCTACTGAATGACCCTGCTCTCTGACACAAAACATTCCTCACTTGTACATCACTTTGGACAAAAGTGCTTACTAGATAAATTAATATTTAATAAAAAAGGCAGTGAGTGCCAGACCCACGACTGTACTTGTTAGAGTAAGATCTCGTGCAGTCTGTAAGATCTCACGCAGTCTGTATGATTTCAGGCAGTCTGTATGATTTCAGTCATTCTGTAAGATCTCACGCACTCTGTAAGATCTCACGCAGTCTGTATGATCTCAGGCAGTCTGTAAGATCTCAGGCAGTCTGTAACAGAGAGATTTCCGTTGCAGCCCTGTGCCCAGTTCCTATATAGTGTTACCTCACTAAATGCACCTGAAATTGAATTTCACATTAATGATTCTCTTTTAATATTGCATGGGGGGTCTGGCAACCGTACTGATAGGTCCCCCTATTAGTTTTGCTAATGGGGGAGGGGGGGCCCGTACATTACACTGACCTGAAGCAAATATCGAGGAGTTTCACTACCTGGCTACATGCATCACTGTAACAAAATAATTTGGGGGCTGGGAACAGGCTTCAAGTCCATTATTTTTCTACGTGACTACGAGCCTGATTGCGTGTATAATCAGGATGCTGAAAGAGCAAGACCCCAAACTCTGTGTCCAGTTTATTTCAAATGACATGCTCCTTCAGTTTGGGCGTATGGTGAGACATGGCCTGGGGGGGTGCGGACGGTCGTCAGAGCCCAATTTAAAAATGCACGTGGATGGTAAAGCAGATTCAGACGTGCAGGCTGCTCGCTGAGCCACAGCGTCACCTAGTGACCAGCATGAAGCATTACACAACTTCTAAATGTAATTCTTTTAGTAGTGAACTGAGAGGGCCTGCATTGCAATGCAACGCAGAGGAACATCTGTTACGTCCCTGGTTTTGTTTGTCAAGTTCAGAGTGAAGAATCTGCCCTAAATTATGCCTGAGAGGCTTAGGTTGGTTGCCAGGCAACAGCATGTGCTTATTAATAAAGTCTGGCCTGCCTGGTTGTCATAGAGTTCAGTCAGTATGTTTTGGTTACATTAGATTTATTTTATGTAGCAGATGCTTTTTGGGGTCTAAGATAAGTTGAGCTTAAGATTCTTGCTTAAGGACCAAACAGTGAGGGACTACTGTGCCAGCCAAGGGATTCGAACCCACAACACGGTCACGGATACATAACCTACTGAGATACACACTGCTCTGGACCCAAGGACAGCTGCCAACTGGCATTTTGGAATATCAGAGGGGCATCTGGGGAAAGACTGACTCTCATTTTTAGGAGGTTGTAGGTTTGAGACAGACATTCTGGTTGGAGTGAATACAAGGTAATTGTTGGTGCCCAAATAGTGAGGAACAGATGCTTTATCTCTGGCTCACACCCAGTCCGGGGCATCTGCACGCTACGCACTTCCACACATGGAGCATGATGTGTTACATCTTTCTTACAGCAGGGGGCAGTCATATTGAGGGGCTGCCCTCAAACCTGAGTGAACCTGCCGTTCCATTCTCCTAGTCCCCGTTTCCACGGCAATGCAGAGTCACCCTATGCACATCAAATTTTTTTTTTGCTTGATTTGTTTTCAGGAATAGGAGGAGAAGGAAACTGCAGGCAGATGGAGAACGATACAGCCTGGTGAACGCGGTGAGTTTGCCGGGTACCTTATCACCTGGCTGGTGCCCTTTCCTGCTCGTGACTGACCTGGCCTCCGCCCTCCAGCAGGGGGCGCTGCGGCAGTCAAAGCTGCGTTCCTTCAGCAAGTCCGACACAAGGCTGCATGAAATGAGCCGACTGACCTGCAATGGTGGCGGTGAGTGAAAATGGGTCCCTGGTAGAACCAGTGCCGCTCCAGGGCGTTGTGGGCCTCTCCTGTCACCCGAGTCCATAAACCAGCGTGACAGCGAGTGACAGCAAATGACAGTGGCACTTTCTGAAGAAAGACGACTGACGTGACCTCAGAGGAATGTGCTGACAGGACCTGTGATATATTGCCCCTTTTGCATTAGATGAATAGTAATGTTGGAGTCAGCGTGGCTTTTGAAGCAGTAAATATCCATCTGTTTAAATCTCAGGCATTTCCGCGGATGACTTTATAAAGAGAGTTTGTGTTTTGGACCCCCAGGCACCACAAAGCACCGGCCAGCGAGCATGGACCTCCTATACATGTCCAGTCGGAGGTCCAACACGGACCTGCGCTTGACCCACCCCCGGCAGCTGCCAAAGGCGCCCTCTGGTGGTGTGGAGGACCACGAGCACACATACTCGGAGGTGGGCCGGCGTGCCTCGCCTTTCCGCGGCCTTGATGACGGCCTGTACGAGAGTGTGGGGGGCATGGCTGGTGAGCCAGAGGGCCAGAGCCCCGCCCACGCGCTGGCCGGAGATCCCGGCCCCCCTGACATGGCGGCAGCGCCGCAGGACCCCGTGATGGCTGAATACGCCTCCATCCGGAAGGTTAGGAAGGCGGACAGGAGTCCGCGCAGGGAGGGTGGAGCCCGGTCCCAACAGGCCCCGCCTCCGCCAGACATGCGCAGCCACGAGGCACCCAGGAAAAACACGGAGCCCTTCCGCATTCACTCGTTCCGGAAGGTAGGTAACCGGACGGGAAACACATCTGCCATACACTGTGTCACATGCATTAACATACTGGCCTGTGCCCAGTGCTTCTTGGGACACCAGTGTCAGTGTGACCCTGTCTTGGATCACTGATGGATGCATGCATGCATGGATGAATACGTGTTGTGTTTTCACCGACATTATGTGACACTATGACTCTACAAAGTCATTTTTTAATTTAATTCATAGTAATGCCCAGATGTAGCTTATAACCAACAGAGCCTTTATGACTGTTCTTTCGGAATTTTGAAAATATCCGGGATAAATTTGCTTGCCAAGCTGGAATTATGCATATGTGATATACGGTGTTTCCCTCTTAACAGAAGTCAGCAATACCGAAGTTTTCACCAAAAATTCCATCCAGTTGTAAGACCCTCTACACTATTCTACACTACTTTTTTCGTAGTGAATTCATTCCGCACTGAAACATGCTCAAATGATCAGAATAAGAAACTGATTATAAGAAACAAATATACACAGGCAATTCCTAAGGTTGTCTTCTATTTCTTCATTCCATTCTACACTAAGCAAAGTAACTTATTAAGCACATTTGACTTTAAAAAACTGGTGTTTCGTTGGGTACTCGGCCGGAGCTGCAATACCGAGAAGCTACCGCCAGAGGGCAAAATTTGCTAGTTATTAACTCTTTGAAACGGCGCAGCCTGGCTGAAAACGGAAGGCCACGGGTCAATCGCTCAATGGCACAGTAATGAAATGGAAGAGCGTGGTGGTATGTAGCCTGCAGATGCATTGTTGTTGTTTTAAACGCAAATGCCAGTTTAAACTCGTGAGGTGTCAGCTTTCACAACCCGCTCATCGTTACCAACCTTCTGCTTTGGCGTCATGGAATTACATTGAGAAAACCTTCAAGGCATTACTAGGGCTTTCTGCGGTCGTGCCGTATTTACAGAACAAAACCCGAAACATGGGGAAGAAAGATATATTTTAATTTAAAAATGCATAATAGTTCCACATAATAATGAGTTTGTTCTCAATGACTCCATTACATCATGACTTGGACACCCGGATCTGAGGTGAGCTAGAATCCTATGGTGTTGAAGTAACGGACTGTTACTGGTTTTTATGGTTTAGTGTTTCTCCTGAACTGTGGGCCCACTGGTTCTGTTGCAGACTGGAGACCAGACTGGTAGCTGATGATCGCGCGTGGTGTGTGCTAGTGTTGACTAAAGCTTTGATGGTCCCGTGAAGAGTCAGCATGGAAAGGGGGAGGAGGATCGGGGGGGACTGGTCTTAAGCCGCGGTCAGCTGTGGTTTTATCTAGAGTTCAACGGTGCGATGCTAATCTCTCCTGTCACGGGTTAGCAAGGAGATTGTTGTCTGAGCAAAATGTTAGGGTTCCTGTTTGCAGAGCATGTGTGAGTGTATGTTACTGGTAAATTAATGAGGGAAAATGATGGCGAATGCATGTGTGTTTATCTGTGCGTGTGTGTGCGTGTGCCTCCCCACATGCGGGGCCCGGCCTGGCCTCTCTCTGCTGCCGCACAAGCGCATGTTATATGAGCTGGCTGCACACAGGGCCTGATTATGTAAGAGTCTGGCCCGCGGCCAGTCTGTGAGTGTGTGTTTCATATTAGAGGCCTCGGCTGAAGATGGAGGGAAGGAACTGTCACCCAGGGGGGAGGGGGTGGGGTAAACAGCACCCAGTATGGGCACCCACGTGGTACGGTGAGGCGAGGTTCCACGCTGCTCGGTTCTGGACTCTCCGGATTTAGGCATTCAGCACGTCGCCTGGGATGGAACCAGCACCGAGCCCTGATAGGCAGAAAGATTTTTTTTTCCGTTTCTGGGTGCTGGAGAATTCCCGATTGCCTTTTTCGTTTGACATGTCATTTTAGAGGCTTGGCTGAAAGCGGATCACACTGAAACCTATCTGATATATTAGCCAAAAAAAAAAAAAAAGTATGGGAGCTAAATAAAGTCAGCGGAGGCCGTGTGATTCCGATTAAAAGCTGCGCTCCTTTCCAAGTGCCACTGGATTCACAGCCCCAGTCCAGGACACTCCTGCCCCCCCCAGGGAAGGGCATATGGATTGAATTAGCACACCTTTTGGGGTGGGGCTGCAGATTCTGGCGAAATCTGCTTTTTGGCATAGGGGCAAGTGGGAATTGGTATCAACGCTCATCCGTCCGCCAGCGCATGTACAAGAAGTAGCCGGATGTTAGCACTAAAGTTTGGGGGTGGGTTCATACATCTGGCCATGTTATGACTTCATGCCACAAGTCAGTGGGTAGATCAGTGAGATTGTCACCATTTGTATGCTCTTTATTGGCCCTGTGCTGAGCAGAGTCACGATTCCCTGCAGAGGATCGAGAATCCAGGCAAGATGACCAGGAGAACCCCTGCTGTTGTGTGTGGGGGGTGAATAGCCCCTGGTTTACTTTCTCCCGCACCGTTTTGGCGCCCCCCAGTGGGTGGGAGGGGAGCGGGATGCAGTGTGTGCATGCTAGAGAGGACTCCCCACAGAGGTGGCCTCAAACTGCTCTCCGGTCTTCAAACCGACAGGAGACGGTGTTCATGGGAAACGGGGAGGAGTACATCTGGAAACCCCCGGAAGAAGACGACATGGCAGTGCCACAGCGCCACCTGGCGGCCAGCACCGTGAGCCCTCCTGCCGAGAGCGACAGGGAGCACTCCCTGGAGGTGAGGAGAAAGGCGGCTGTGTGGGGGGGGCGACAGTGTGCAACCACTGGCAAAACCTTTATGAACGATAATCTCTGCGGATAACTGTATTTCTGTCACCTCGTTGCGACGTTCATGTCTTTCAGGATTTTTGTATTAAATTGCAAAGCTGTCCATGTAATAGAGGAATTGAGCTGATGTTTAACATTAAGGATTTTAAAATGATCGCCGTTCAGTATCATTTTCATAAATATGTACACATATTATGGTCATTGTAAATGTAGATCATCAAAGGACGGACGTGCGCAGGGTGATATTTGGCGGAACCGCCCCTGTGAGGTTGGACTTTAACCTGCGCGCCTCTGTCTGCTGAGAGGCGAGATGTTTGGCCACGCGGGGCCGCGCATCGCGGGTGCGTCTCCCCCTCCTGCCCAGACATGTCGGGTCTGATCCAGCTCTTCATTGCCACACTCCATCAAGCCGGGGGTTGCAAAACACCGATCCCGTAACAATCAGCCTGATTGCTCCCGGTTTGCTTCAATCATCGGCTACCCGGCCCATAGTAAAGCCTTTTTTATTTTTCGACATAGTGCAATACAGGGGGTGGGGGGTGTCACCAATTTCAAGGCGAATGCAACCCGGTTCTTCATAAATATAACCACGTAGGCACAAATAATACTTATTCAAAGTATACTTTTGGAAGAGCAACAGATGATTGTGTTGCAAAAAAAAAAAAAGGCACAAGTTTCACTGCTTAAAACTAATAAAAAGTGACAGCTATTGACGACCGACACGGTGACGCGCCTGACAGGGTGCCGGCGACCCGAGGAGAGTAAACAGAGTGAAGGTAAAACCGGCATCGGCGGCGGCGGGATGCGAGGCATGGCGGCAAGAAAAACAAGATCTGAGCAAAAGGGGAAAAAATAGCTGAGTTTCTCAACAGCTGCTGCTGCCGCGGGGTTTCGAAAGCCCTCGTTCTTGTGATTTCCTCCCAAGCAGCCCAGTGGAGCAGAGTAAACGCTCTGTTTCTGTCTCAGGGTCTAATTGATGGTGCTGCATGGGAGGTGGGTGACTTGAGAAATGTATCTTTATCTAGTGTTTATCCGGTACAGAGTAACGCCATGCTCAACTCAATGTGAACTCAGAGTGTGTTTGTTTGTCCTGTAATCAAAAAAAAGAAGAAAAAAATGTTTCAGTTTCTCAAAGGAAGAAAAGCCAAGGAATAGTAGCGCGCCCCCTCCCCCCGGCAGAAGTCTTTGGCATATAGTAAAGGAAATTCAGGTGCTCAAAACAGTGTTAATTTTTCATTTTGACGGCTTTTGCCCGCTCTTTTGTCTCCCTCACACCGTCCGCGTTTCCGATCCCGCGCACACGTGTTGGCCGGCCCAGGCGCGCCGCTGATGGATCACATGACCGCGCAATCAAAGCCGTCGCGCCGTGTAGGATGAGCTGTAGCCGGGACAAGACGGTGAAAAAAATCGATATTCCGGACCGCCGCTCCCCCCCGCTCCCGGGCCCGGCTTACAGCAGATTAATGACACACGAGGGAGGACAGGAGGTCTCTGAGCTGTAACTCCAGGCTGTACATGCGGCGCCGGGTGCGTAGTAATGCCGACCGTCAAGTGGAGAATCCAAGCGATGTTGCCTTTTAACAGGGAAATGTGCTCTTATATGCACGATTCCAGAGCATGACTTAATATTTAAACCGGTGTAGCCTGCACGAATCCGCCAGATACGCGAGTTGAAAGAACTTGCCGAAGATTTTACGGTCCGGTCAACATAGCCATAGGCTATACCCGTATCCATACAGACTGATGAGAGCAATGCTTAGCTATATATCAGCACACTTGTTTGCGTAGTATTCTAAATAAAATTCAAGCATAATTTACCAGAAAGAACTGTAAGTTTAGTCACATAGAAAGATATTTGAATTAAAAAAGCTGTTCTACAACCCACCAGCGGCAGGATCATGAACGCAAATGTATAATAAATTAACCTTCTCTTGAATATAAAATAAAAATGTATAACGTTTTCAAAGGCACAGTGTATAATATTTTGTGTGAATTATTTTAAGAAATTAAGAAATAGTTATTATAGTACTGAAAATGAGTCATTTAAAAAGATGACGGGAAAATACAACAGGTTGTTTTGGATAGATAATTTGAACGATACCTCGTTGTATTGTATACGTTAAAACAGAAGATAAAACTGCGTTAAAAGCATGAGAAGTAATTAAGTCATAATGTAACACTACGGGCTGTATAAGGACACCGTGGCAATAATGTGCGGGTGTGAGTTACGTCACACTTTATGGCCAAACATTCCATTACCCTGCAGCGGTAACTTGGATTAATCATTTACCGCGTTAACGATAATGCGGTGCCCGAAAAGTGCCTGTAACCTGTAAATAAACAGGCAATAATTCCTATTTCTCCTGCAGACTAGCGATTTCTTAAACATTACAGTGTCACTCTTGATCCACGTTACACGACGTAACTGACAGAAAAGAGGACCAGGCACTCGTGTCACGTTAAAAAAATATAGTTTTTGGCTTTTAAATTAAAGGGAACAGCCCCTCTGCAGGCGTTTCGGTACACCCTGACCCCTTCTGTGGAGCCAGCTGGACCGGGAGACAGCATTTTAGGCTGCAAGAGTGCACGTTCAGGAAGAGCAAGCATTTTTTCAGGAAAGGAAGCCCTTGCAGTTGTCCTGCTGCTTCTATGGACAGGTTGCTAAGGCAGGTACAGGGAGCAGGTTAAGCATTTGCAGACAGGGTCTCAATCTACTGCCAGGTAAGTACAAAGACACAGTTGTCTCCTGCAACAACGTGGACTGCTCACCCTGTATGTGTTGACCGGAAAGGTTTGACACAATGTATGAAAAAAAATCAATAAACACTGTTCTAGAATAGCTACTTACTAAATGCTAAATCGAGAGATTTGGCATATGTGTCTAAAAATGCCACCTGTGGTTTTAAAAGACACAAATAATTCCTTTACTGAGATAGCACTTTAAATACTTCAGAAAAATCAGAGCATTAAAAAAACAACCTTGCTAATGGCAAACATTATGGTAGTATTTTTGTGTCCTTACCAAACATTTCTAAGATTAGCTTCTAAGTATTTTTACCTTCAGATATTCCCATTTTTAAATTATGCTTGTTTAACTTACACTAGCATGTTTGTTTAAGCTCCATTGATTCCCCCTTTAATGAGTACAGACGTTTTGCAACTGCTACATTCACACAAGCAGGCTAATGTGTCCCGTTTCAGTGGAAGGCTTTTACGGCTCGCCGTATCACCGAGGAGTTCAGAGGAGTCAAAGGAGGTGCTTAGCTGTTACGGAGTGAATCTGCCAGTCACACACGGGGTCACGCAGGACTGGGCGGGTTAAACGTGGCGGGGGAGGTATAGTCCCCCGTGATAAATTTTGCCGTCTCACATACCCATGGGCCCACCGGAAAAATGCCCAGAACACCAGACGGCTAGTCCAACCTTGGGGTCATGACACCCCAGAACCCATGTGTGAAGCGGGGGCCCATGGAACACCGAATAGCCCCCTTTCACGGGTGAGGAGGCATCAGGTGTTAGTGCGGACGTGTGCAGTCAGCTTGCGTCTGTGGTTTGGGGGGAAACCAGAGGACCAGGCGATAATCCACACAAACGCAGGAGGCCAGGGAAGACCCCGCAAACAGAGAGGGAGTTTTTGTTGGGATACTACTTCAGCCTGAACCCTCTGAACCCAGAATATATAAATACATATGTATAATGTTGGCTCCTGCTCTTTTTTGGACTCCTTTCCGCATTACTACCACCACATATCCCTAAAAAAAGGCAAGGCGAGGTTATTATTGCCTTAACTTGTCTGTTATTCGAAATGTTTACATCATGATGAGAAGAGAGGCCCTAAGCCAAGACTAGGAAGCATCAGCAAAACTGCCAGATATGCAGAAGGGTCACGTGACCAGTCATGTGACCGATCACCACCAATGCTTTGCCTCTCCGTTTTACCCAAAGCCCATCTAGAAATCTGTTTATTAATCATGACTAAATGCTTGGGAATAAAGTCTTACTGGAGACATCGTCGGCCACTTAGATTTCTACCACAAAGCATTTTTGAATTATTTACAATTCCCTAGATTAGTGCTCCATCTAGTGAACCACTCCTGTTGTGATAAATTGCTGTAAGTTCCTTGAATTTGTTTTGTTTCATAGATATCGGAGATGTACTCCAAAGTGTGCAAGCCAAACAAGAAGAAGTGGGCGCAAACATCTCCCCCGGACACGGAGGAGAGCAACGGGCAACGAAACCGACCTTGGTCTTCAGGGGGCGAGGAGGGAGAGATGGGCCACAGCGCGGCGAATGGCCAGGATTGGGTGGGAGGCGGAGGAGGAGGAGGAGGGCATGAGGAAGGTGGTGGAGAGGAATGCAACGTGACTGACTCCTGCTATGAGTCCGTCGGCGAGAAGACCTGGCCCCAGGATGGGGAGGAGACAGAACCAGCATACGAAACTATCGACGGTAACTGGAAAGGAGAGGGGCCGAACGGCGCTGCGGCGAGATCAAAGAAGAGGTCTCCACGACAGCAGAAGCGGCCGCCCAACCGGGCAGCGCCTGGAGAACACTTCTATGAGAGCATCAGCGACGTGAGGGAAGGCCTGAGCACCTCCAGCACCACGACCATCTTCACGTTTAACGACGGCATGGAGATGTACGTCACTGGGCTCTAGCAGCTGACTGCTCCCCCCCCCTTCCTGGATAAAGTCAGATCTACTGCCTGGAACTCCTGGTCTCCCACCTTGACTCAGTCATCCTTAAAGACATTGGACCGCAGCTCCTGTGCTGTTATCATAACTTGTTTCATCTCACTTAATTCATAATTGAGCGTAATGGATTGCAAAAGTTAGCAGAAGGGTGACTGCAGTTCGTTATCCAGATGGGCCAAGTTACGACCGAGCGCTTATCTGATGTGCAATGGGGGACAGTGTATTTCTCTATTTATTCTTGCATAACTGATGCTGAAGGTTATGCTCACATGTGGCCCTCAATTCAGAATCTTCCTTTTATATGCAGTATATGTAAAAAAAAAACAGATTTGATTTGCATCAGCTGTACAGTTGTTGATGTAGCCGCAGAATATCTCAGTGGCTGTTTTCGTGTCGTAACTGCTTCGACCTGATCCTCAGCCTGGTTTAGATGCTCCACTTCAGATGGCTTCCCATCATGCTCTTGTTCTTCACATGCTCATGGGGGTTTTACTTACACAAAAATGTTCTGAGGGCAGAAGGAAAAATTATTGATTCAGAGAGAGAACCAATCAGATTGAGGAAGTGGGTCCAAGCAACTAGATCAGGCAGGATCAAACCAACCAGAGGTTTTGGTCCCGCCTCCTCTATAAGCTGATTGGTTACCTCTATGAACCAATCATTTTTTCCTTCTACCCTCAGAACATTTTTGAGCAAGTAAAACTGCCACGAGTTCTTCACACACCAACTGAATCCCAGGAAATCAATCCCTCTCTGAACGGCCTGCAGAAACGCAGTTGATCATTTCACTAATCTTTCCATCCTTTTATGGTTTTTGACTTCATTCAGAAAGATCTTCTCTTCAGGGCTGCGCACATTTTTTCGTGGCAGCATGGATCTGCACGATCCTGGCAGAGTGGGCTTCGCTTTGCTCCAGCTCTCCGCGGCATGTCGCCTTCGCTTAGGAAGGCTCGTCAGGATGAAGGAGGAACTCATTACTGCACCCAGTTAATGTGTCCTTTCTCATGCACATACTTAGCAGTCAGCTTTACGAGCACGAATGTTCCTCGGGGGTTACGCTTAGGTTGTCCAAAATGCAGCTAAACGGCTCGATGACATAATTACAACAGCGGCACCGCTCCATTCCAGCACTCCGGTCCACGGTTTCTGGGTTCTGGTATCGGTGGAGAGAGGGATCCAAAGAAAACAGAGTAACGAGCACAAAATTACCAGCCAGCGTCTTTGGAAACTTGCCTCTCTCGCTCTCTGGTTCAGTCCTCGGTCTTTTGTAAATAAGCGCTTCCGCGTGCAGCTTGGGAAATGTGATTTATAGCATTTAGTATTATAGGCATAATAAAGTCTGAATCAGAGGACGAAGGGAGAAAATTGCTCGGGGGATGGGACACAATGCTGTATTATTAAGAGTAAACGTTATCCTCGTACTTAATATAAATAAAATTTAACATCTGACCAGGACCAGTCAAAGTTTACCAATAAGCACCCCCCCTCACAGAATCTGGGTGTGACTTAGAGACTGAAAATCACTGCTTTGCCTAATTGTCTTACACTGTAAATGACTTCTAATGCGGGGTGTACGCTTAGAGGTGTACACAAAAAAATCTTAAAACCTGAGAATATATTGTGTTTTTTGCTGCAGTAATATTTATCATATAAGGAAACAAAAAGAAATCAATGTAATTTGTATTTCTGGATCGGCCTGCTTGGCAACAGGGAAAGAAGGCAGTTCAACATTGACCTGTTCTGCCCAGATACAGAACGGCATTTATAAGAGCCGGACTGGATAAACTAATCGCGGACCAAGCGGCTGTGTTCACTCCCTCCGCGCGTCGCGGCAGGATAAATGAGAAGCGGGCCGAACTGGGGAGCGTGAGAACTGGCGCCGCCGACACACAATTAAGAAGCGTCCTTGGGAGACGCTGTCTGGCGGAGTCAGGCCGTCTCTTCACCGCCCACCTCGGTGCGTTGGTGCCCGATCGCGGTGCGCCGACCACAAACCCGCACTGTACTGTACGATTTTGGTGGGGTGGGGGTCCGAAGACCCCTTTCAACTGCAACAGCAAAAACATAAAATCAAGTGACATAAGACTGCCGTGTAGCCGTGCGGGTGAAGCGTTTCAAGGCAACTCAAAGATTGCTTCACAGTAAGCACTGTTACTATTTTAAGACCAGCAACAATGATTAGCCACAGAAAAATGAAGGTCGTCAATTGTCTGAAGTTGATAACCAGGAAATGAAAGCACCATGATATTAAAAACTGATTTGGGGAACTAAAACAATATGGTGCTAATTATAGACAACAGTGGTCACCAATTCATTTATACCCGCGACTCATTTTGCTTTACTGTACGTTTATGTAAGACACTTCAAAAGAGAAGGATGTCAAAAATGTTTAACCAGCTATCAAATATTTGGTTGTTTTGGATAGTCATTTTGGCTGCCTGGATTGCAAATATGATAACGTGCATTTTGATGGTGAACAAGACCACTTAAGTTTTCCTGTCGTTACGGTAATATTCTGTGTACTAATACAGATGAAAACCCCGCTGAATTCGGTGTGGGTCCTACTGTGTTTTGTGTCTGCAAAACGGTAACACGTGTTGTAAATTATCCCAAAGCTGTATAACTATGTGCCCATTTAAAAAAAATAAGATTGTAACTTTTTATATCAGAATTATTATTCAAAAAATGTTATCCGAAATTTTTACTTTTGTAATAAACCAGCACCTTAAACGTTTCGAATTCCTTTGAAATTCTTGTTTGAGTGACTATAGTATTATGAAAGCGCAGGGGCTTATTAAAAATCCCTATAAACACCGCTGATTTCCCCGCCGCATCACTAAGATTTTGTGTTCGGATACAATTTGACAAACTGCGTATTAGGGGTGTGATTATGTGGAAACTGTCCCTCAGTAAGCTGCAGACTGCGTGGGGGCGAATCTTGCAGGCTGGTTCAGAGCGCGTAGCGCGTTTATCTGTAGGTACGAGTTTTTACCTGGCAGGAGAGGAAAGTCTACGTGTCAGCAACAGGTTGTGCAACGCTGTTTTGTTTTGTAAATAACACTTTACCTGATTTTCATATATTGATTCTTTATATATTCTAGAAAAGTCCCCTAGAACCAATTACACTTCGGTTTGTGCATTCCTCAGTACGACTGGAAACCCAAAGCCACAACTTTATGTGACCGCAGCGCCTCGTTATCCATTAACTGCGGGCGAAAGGGTGAAACGTGCACTCAGCTCCGTCTATCGAAACCCGAACGAGGCGGCGCTTCAGTCGATCACAGTACAGGAAATGTAATTTCGGGTCTTTTTCATCCATCTTGCGGATAACTTCCAGTTACGTATAATTTGCGCCGTCCACAAAAGGCGCATTTGTAACTTGCAGACTTTACGTCGTTCCGTCGTGCAGCATGAGAGGGCTGAGCAAACAGCCTCTTCCTCCGTCGTATGTTAATGTATCAGAAAAAGCGAAATTACAGGCTGCCCGGCAGTTGTCGCTCATTTTAAAATCTATTCTTTAACCAATTTTATGCAGACGCCCCACAACGGGAGAGGGAGGGGGCGGGGGGAGAGAAATTCGAGTTACATTTATTGCATGGTCGCTTAGCTTGCAGACCATCAGTGTGCATCACACAAATAAACTAGCACCAGGACTACATGTATAAAAGTCTGACAGCCATCGTGAACATCTTCTTCCACCCCGGTCTTTAGCATAAAACAAAGTGAGTTCATAACTGAAATTCTCGGCTCTGCAGGCTGAGGGCGGCGCCGCCCTGCGAGGCAAAGCGCACGTACTTCTTCCAAGCGATCTTCGGCTAATCCCCAGTTTATGAGCAAATAAGCGAATCGTCCCGGTACCTGCGATCATGCATTAACCGAATAGACACGTCGGTGAAACAGAGGAATAACGATCGCCGTATCTCGGCGGCACATAATACAACTGATAAATAAGACAGCGGAACTAAAGCATGACTGTTAGAAATGTCTTCCGCATTTATGCGGGCCTGGCAGAATCGCCATATTAACCAATCAATTGAAGGACGGAATAAAGCTGGTAGAAAAAATGCAACGCCTAAGAGAAAACTCCGGAAATACCCATTCCCAGTGTCGCTTATACATGTATACAGGGGATTGACTGTAAGTTAATGCCCATTAACAAGATCCAGGATCTGAAACATAGCACCATTTTCTGGATTTTAAAAAATGGTAAATTTGATGTCGAAGTGAACATAATTTTCATTTTTGCGAGGGCGCACACCGGCCGGCGAAATCCGGCGGACACACCTCCCCTGTATCTGTATTAGAAAAAATGAGAGTGGAAAAAAAGAATTCTGACGTTTGCTGTACCAGCCAATCAGAATCGGCATTTTCTCGGCCGCGTGCCAAGTTCGAATGTTTGTATACGTCTCTGACCAATGGGAATGAATGGAAGGCGGGGACTAGCAATCTTCCCCCCCGGCTGCACGCGCAAGGGCGGGGGGCGTGGCATTTTTTTTGAAGTGGGGGCGGGGGGGTGTTAGAGAAAAGCAAAACAATCTTCCCCCTTGACCGGCGGTTTTTAGGTTTCTGGGGAGCGACAAAAACCCTCTCGGTAGCTCTGCAATAGCGCGCATTTAAAGAAAACGACAAGCTTTCTTAAATGTTTAATATCGCTCGCACAATCAGCAGCGCTACACCTCGCAGGGAGCCGGTTGTCTTTCCTCCAGTCTCCTATCCTGTCCGACCATGACTTCCAAGCGTCTTCTCCACAGGTCCTTGGTTGGGATGAGGGTCGGTACTGCTACGGGCCAAGCCGGCAGCGGCAGTCATGCAGCCGACGGCAAACCATATGGCAAGACCGGTGCGCCGGTGGACTGCGGGATCATGCTGGCGTGCAAGAGCGATCACTCTTCGGGAAGCTTTCTGTACACACTAATGTTGGATGATGGCACTTTGAGAGACCCCAGAGAAGATGTCCTTCTAAATGGCATCGATTTGACAGCACCGGGGAAAGAAAAATTCATTTTCGACCCGAAAATAGTAGGTATTAATCGGAGCCATGCTGCGTATACGTGCACCGTGTGCACCCAAGCAAGTGTATTTCGAGTGTTAAACGTCATAATAAATCCATATCTAATTTATAAGTTATTGCTATCACTTTTACGCTGGAAACTAAGTAAGAGTAATTTTTACTTTTCTTAATCTCTTTAGGGGAGTCGTTATTTGTTCTGTGCAAATTCTAACCTTTCAGCTACAAAAGTGCATAGATTACTGTTTCCATTGTCATGGGATGTAATGATCTTTTCTTTATTTTTTTAAACCTCGTGTCTGTCTCTCAACTTAGCTTGCAGATTCCCTGCCCGAAGTTAAGTTGTTAAAATGGCGACTCGTCGCATGTTCAAAGTTTAAAGGAAAAGGGGGTTGGGACTTCGGCCCCCTCCCCCGTTCGGCCCGGTGCGCTTCATGCTTGTCGGGCCCTCGATGGAAAAAAAAAACATGACAAAACTTAAGATGACAAAAAAAATACTTTATTTAGTCTCATCGCATAATATGCAGTGAGATTAAGCCGGAGGTTGTTCTTGTGGGTTTATTGTAACGCGTGCATTGCTGTTGATAAACCGAGGGGGGTAGCTGCAGAAATGTATTTGTCGATCACGTAAGGAAATCTGCCAAAGCTTCAGTTTTATGCAGCCGAGGCCGCTGGGCAACCTGGATACGGGCATGTATGGCGTCGAAACACCCCCTGTTAAGGCAAAGTTAAATAGTGATACGCACATAACTTGGACGGGATCCTCAGTAAGGAGGCTCTGAATCCTGCCCCCCCCCGGTGCGGTTTGCAGCTGCGCGCGACACGCCCCCCCCCGCCGCTTTAACCCCTACGCCGCTGCGCTCTGCACGGGCCGCGCGAGCCTGCTACCGCAATTTTTCGCGCAGCGCTTTGCAGTGTAGCGCCTTACCAAACTTATTAAACGCGCATGGGGGGTGGGCTTCTCGCGGGGCTTCTTCCGGTCCCTTTTTGGTCAGATTAAGAAATCACTTTAGGCTGCTCCACATGGCTGTGATGCAAGAACCTTGCCCATCAAAGATATCGCCTCTCCTCCACGCAGTTTCCCCAGCAGATGGGGCACAAATATGCACGGAGTACTTTCTGCCGCTCCTCCTACTCCTCTGCTGACTGCTGCAATTTTTCCCCCCCTCTTCCAGACAGCCCGTAATAGCGACGTGGACCACCGCATAGAAGCCGACCTGATAGTGGTCCAGAAGAGAAGCCCGACCCACCGCCTGGTTCTCAACGGGAAGAAACTAGATGACCAAATGCACACAGAGGGCAGGGGCCCAGGGAGAAGAGGCGAGGAGCCCAGGAAGGACCCCCAGACGCCTCCTGCTGATACTCCCCCTGAGGACCTCGACCCCTTGGCCTCCTCGCATATCCCCGTGCCCCGGAACAGGTACAGCTACATACGCCGGTCGCTCCAGCCCGCTTCGCTCTTTGTCGGTCGCTTGGGTTTGGTTGGATCTGGCCGGGAGGTTCCGGACATCTTGTTTTCACGGATGCACCACGATTACTTAGAAGATATCTTGGCTCTGCTCGTGTACTTTGGCCTTCAGTGAGTCAAAGATGATACCCACGAGCAATGAATTCTCTACTGAAAACACACCTTCTACATCAGAAAACATAACTTTGAAATTCTGATGGAAAAATTCACATCGTTACCGTCATGTAGACAGGTCTGCAAACACAGGGTGCTTTGCAGAAGAGTCTGGATCAGATCAAAGGTCCTTCTGCTTCTGGGGAATTCTCCTACAACTGCGATTTTTTTTCCCTCAGTCTGTGGTTCCCCATCTTTCAGTTCTTTTTAGTTTGGTCATCGACAGAGGACAGTTTCGCTTGAACTTAGTTAGTTACCAGAATTTGATCACTATGCCTGGCTGCTTGGAGTCCAGGCCTGAATTTCAGTCACGTGTGTTATGGTGATATTTTGGACAGATTGGCTTCCTGCTTGGCTGAGGTTTAACCTAGAGGTGGAGAGTTCATGTCCAGAAAGTAAAAATCCAGACCAAGATTTTGTTTCAACCAGTTAGTTGAGTATGATTCTACTGTGACTCACTATACTCAACTGGTTGACTGAAACAAAATCTTGGTCTGGATTTTTACTTTCTGGACCTGAACTCTCCACCTCTGGCCACACCACCCTGCCACAGGATTACCAAGCAGGATCATATTTTTGTTCAATTGATGATTTTTGTTCAATGCGAGTTTGTCATATCGAGTGATGTCATTGTGAAATCGATTATTCTGGTCTATGTAGAAGTTTCAGGGTAAGAGAGTGATGTGGGTCCCAGGTTATCCTTTAGTTTGTAGGGAACACCCTTGAACGGTTACAATCTGGTCGCTCGACGGGACGGCGTCCCCATATGTCTTTAGTGTCCCTCCTGCAAAGAGGTGTCACTCTCACGCCCGCACGGCCGCAGGCATCCGGCGACACCCTCTGCTCGCGCCCGTAGGGCCCCACGTGTCCTGGGAGACGCACAGGTGTGTCGTGCAAGAGACCATCATCCGCCACACCAGCTCCCGTAGCGCTGGCCCGCCCCAAACTAGTCGCTCGGACGGACTCCTGCTTTCCCTGCAGCACAGGGCTCACCTTTGTCACCTTTGTCACCTGTGAATTAAGCTTGTGCATCATCCAAAGTATCAGTAATCACGAAAATAAAAACCGTAGCAGGGTCGTGGGCTGGTAGCGTGGAGCTGCATTATATTTGCCAGCGGGCTGCGTCGTTCGTGACGAGGTCTGCATGCGCGTTTATGTGTGTGTGGGTGTTACGACCCTTGTGTTATTACACACTTCACACTAAGTGTGCATCTGAGCCCAGGTAATACAAAGTCATGCAAAGCTTCTCAGAGCTAGGCAAATTTTTTTTTTTGGTGCGAATGACTTTGAGAATGGAAAATGTGCTTCTCGAACGGCCGATGCGCCGAGACGAGTAGGAGCAGGCAAGGCGCCTGCCTGCTGCATGGTTTCGTGGCGTGGGGCCTTCGTCTGCGGCTCGAGATCGCGCTCCATCGCTGCGCATAGGCCCCGCCCACCCAGCTTTCTGTCAACCAAGCCATCCCACAATCGCAGGCCTGCCTCTGTTTGCTTTTCCAATCCTCTAGCAGCGTCGCGAGCAAAAAATCTCACATTTCAAGTCATATTTTACAGCTCAGTGGTGTCATCGCTGACAAAAGAAATGGCGTTGATTAAACTCGACTCGTTCAAATGATTCTCCTCTGGCATTTATAGCGCAGAATTATTTTGCAGATTGACCCGGTTTCGATGTCTGACTCCCACGAATGCATGTTAATCTGACATTTATTCACATTGTTCAGTTGCGGTTTCTTACCTAAAAATAAAATCTTTAATGATTTAAGGGAGGTGTGAAGCTCGTGTTCTTTGCTGCAGACATAATAGATGCACATGACAAGAAAAGACTGAAATATAATTCAGTTTGGCGTCCAGGCTTTTAGGAATCATCCAGCATCTGACATGTATGGACTTGCCCTGCTGGAGAAAGGCAAGGCGGACACGCCCTCTGCCCAGCTTGGAGTGTTTACAGGGTTTGCTGTCCCGGGGTAGTGGAGAGTTGTGAGGGGGCACCGATCATCTCAGAGCGGTACCTCTCCGCTGTTGCCAGTCAGAGGCGCCATTTAAAAACGGTAACAGCTTGTCGGTGGACAGACAAGCCAGGATGGGGGGGGGGGCTGATCTTACACTCCCCATCTGAGGAGCGACCTGTAAGGCAAAGGTCACAGTGTCCTTCCACATTTCATCACTAAGGCACCTACACAGAACGAAAAATCAAGCTTGGGCATTTAAAAAAATATTTATGGTGGATCTATATCATCTAGTTGATGTATGGATTCACTTGGTGATCAAAAAGAAGTTTTAACGCTGCAGTGAGATGCAGGTGACGGGTTTGGTCTAGAGGCCGAGCATTTCTCCGTGGATTGGGGAGTGATGCCGTTTTTCTTTTCCGATGCCGAAAAAGGGGCCTTCCGCTACGCAGGTGGTCCGTGGCTGATCCGCACTCCTGGTTTTCGTGGGCCCATCGGGACCATCGTCCGGATTAAAAGTCGCCGTCTAAGTTGATTGTTTTATGTGAGCTTTCGGGGACCGAAAATAACCGCGGGACATGAAACGATTCCGAGAAATCAGATATTTCACGATTGCTTCAACCATTCTAATGAAGATTTGCCGTTTCCTGAAAAGATACGCTCCCCCTCCCCCCAGAGTGTATCCCGAAAGTGCATGTTGGAGAAAGACAGGTCATAGTGTCTTCCGTCGCCATAGCGATGGTTATAATGAGAAATAATGACAGCGATTGGATAATTACGGAAAGGTCAGAGTGTGACCACAGCACAGACACAGAGTGGTCTCGGAGAGGTATTTTGGGACACTGTTGTGCCCAACTGGGGTGTCCGCTGGGAGGAACCGCTTTAGTGTGGCCCTGGTTTACCATGACAAATCACATCAGCGCACAGAAACGCTCATGGGAGCCTGATCACACCCCGTTGAAGGAAGTTCTCAGTAAACAGCTACATGGCCTGAAAAAAAATAAATAAATCAATACAGGAGATGCAAACAAACTTCTTCTTGTTGAAGTGAGCAGCTGGTTTTGCTGCTTGTCATGTAATTGTTCACTTTATGATTCGTTAGCCAGCAGAAGCAGAATGTCTCGTTTAGACGCCCTTGGCTGCCGGTGATTCGTCACCGCTCAGCGAAACTCGGCCGGTCACGCCGCGGCCAGGCGGCGTTCTGTGCGGTACCGGTTTCGAGGGCCCAACGCGGACCTGTGTCACGCTGGGAGGGAGCGTGACGCACCGCAATGCGGGTGGCGGGGGGGGCGGTGGCTGGGGGTGGGCAGTTAGTGCAGCGTTCCATTGTTGTTCGGTTATAAAAAGAGAATTGAAACCAACAATGGGCCGGTGGATTTGGAGAAAGGGCGCCACATCTGTTATAACAAGCGCACGGTTGTTTTGGAAAGTTTTTGTTCCCGCGTGTTTGTTTTGTGCCGTCTGCGAGCGGAGTGTTTTCGTTGGCTTTCGCGGTCCTCGCTTCTGCGGGCCGTTATCTTTTTTGATTTTCGCTGGACTGCAAGACTGCGAGTCGGATTTTCAGAAATGCGCTTCTGCAGGAATTGTGCCACGGACGATGTCATGCAATGATTTTTGTCTCGGGAGCAGGTCCCTGCCGACGACCCACCGGGGTTTAGCAGTCAGCTGGCTGTTTAATCAGACGGCGGTGATCTTTATTGTGTCATAGATAACTGGCTCGCACATTTATTCAGCTTCCCTGGCATGGAGCTCTAATCGCCGGCAACGGATACTGGTCAGTCCAGCGATCGCCCCCCCGTTTTAGTGGTGGGACAGTAGCGATGAGTCTTTAATTTCGGGTATGGAGTCAGCAGGGCCTGGAGGGGTGTCAGGAGGCGGGGAGAGCCGCTCCTGCCTGGGGGGCTCTCTGGTGGCCTTCCTGAGGCCGAGGCCGGGTCCGTGGGCGGGTGGGCGGGCGGGCGCATGCGTGCGGCGCTGGGCGAGGCCGCCCCGGCCGGATCGTGTTGCCTTGGCTGCCTGCCCGCGGCCCGGCTCTGCGAGAAGGTCCCCTCTCCCCGCTTGAGAGGAAACATCTTGTGCAGCCCAGCTGAACATTTTATGAGTCCCATAACCAGACTAATGCACTTATATAATCCATGATAATTACTGTTGTGACAGTTATTAGAGCCAGAACGTATTAGGATCTCAGTGCCCCCCTATTGGTCCTCCGGACCATCCTCTCCTCCTCGGGCCTCCTGCCTTTGCTCCCCCCCCCCATGTTCTGAGACGGATGTCCCCCCTCCCGTGTCTTGCCGTTATGCCACAATGCCGACAGGAAGTGATGCACGTCGCGTGCGTACACGTGCTGTGATGACGTGCCCCCCCGCTTGTCAGCTGCCCCCGCTGGCATTTGACTACCAAAGTTACTGCGTCTTTGTTAGATTCCCTCCCCAGGGGTCTTTGCGTCACTAAAATCGGCAAAAAAGAGACAGGAACTCATAGTCCTTGCCCTGTACTCGGGGTGGGGGGGTCTGACTTATTGTCACATTTATTTAGTTTAATTTGATTTTATTTTTTATGTACTTGTTTACCTTACTGGCACTGTCACATCCTGAAGACATTAGGGGCTCTTCCTGTGCCTCTTTTACCCTGCCCCCCCTCCCCCACTTATCCTCACTGTGTCGGTCCCCCACCCTTGTGGGTCGCCTCGCCGCTGAGCCCTGTTCTGATTGGCTTCCCGCCCAAGGTCCTTTCTTGCTGTCCACCAATCGGAGCTCAGTTCTCAGGTCTGTCCTCGACCTTCCTCACAAATACGCCGGTCACTGATGGGGGGGGGGCATGGGCTGGAGAGCTGATTAGGACGGGTTCACAGTAATT